ATGAGTGGACTGTCCCACAGCCGAATGATGAGTGGACTGTCTCACAGCCGAGTGATGAGTGGATTGTCCCACAGCCGAATGATGAGTGGACTGTCCCACGGCCGAGTGATGAGGGGACTGTCCCACGGCCCAGTGATGAGGGGACTGTCCCACGGCCGAGTGATGAGTGGACTGTCCCACAGCTGAGTGATGAGTAGACTCTCTCACAGCCGAGTGATGAGGGGACTGTCCCACGGCCCAGTGATGAGTGGACTGTCCCACAGCTGAGTGATGAGCAGACTCTCTCACAGCCGAGTGATGAGTGGACTGTCCCACGGCCCAGTGATGAGGGGACTGTCCCATGGCCGAGTGATGAGTGGACTGTCCCATGGCTGAGTGATGAGTGGACTGTCCCACAGCCAAGTGATGAGTGGACTGTCCTGTGTGGAAGAGCAGTGTGAGAGGTTAAAGCTGAGGATTTGTTTAGAACAGGGAGATGTTGTTCATGCCCTGCCAAAACTGATGGGCGATGGGTTAGACCTCCCCATATGCCATGAGGAGAGAGGTATAGTAAATAACATGAAGCAGAAAATGCAAGTTTCCAAAGTGGTTGTGAATAATGCTCTATTAGCTATATTAGGCAGAGTGCTTTCAGAGCTGAGGCTCAAGAATCATGAGTTCAACAAGAAATTGTGTAACATTTGGTCAGCTGGCACAATTTAATAATTTTTTTCCCTTTCTTAAAATGTGTATGTATTTGGGGTGTGTGTGCTGTATACCTATGGAGCATTCACGTATTATCTGCCAGGTAAATGCTTTTTGCAGTTTTGTAAGGAGTTTCACTTATATTTGATGTTTGAGGCACCACTATGAGGCAGTCAGAGACAGTTCTCATTCCAGCATTGTAGATGACAGAGCAAATTGCCCAAGCTACATGCAGTATCATCTCTATGTTTTTGGATTTTAACTATTTTCTAGTTAAGTGAAAGTTCTGGGTGGCTATGTAATGGATATACCGAGAACAGCAAGGGCAGAGGAGAGAGGTTGTATTGTGGAAAGTGGTGGCACTATTAATTAGCGTCTTTGTTCCCAGTGCATGTTCCCAGTAAAATATGGAAACAGCTTGGGACAAGGGTTCAGAATACTCGTGGCAGTATTGAAGAGAATTCATTCGTAGTCTCTAATCTCAGCTGTTCATTGACGTGATGCTTGTGGCACATGTAGAAACTTCTGAAAGGAGGTGCTTTCAATGACAGCTTACTCAGGGTCTGCCCCGGGTCTTAACATGGTGCTAGAGGAGCCGTACATCAACATTTAACACATTGCCACCCTAGAAGAAGAATTCTTTTTCCTTGCGGCCATGCTTGTTTCATTAGGTCAAGATAGGTCAAGAGAGTGAGTTATATCTATTTCATAAGGGCCAGGTTCGAAACTAGCATTAAGTTAAATACAACTCACATGACAGTTAACATGTTAAAAAGTCCTTCATGCGCTGACTCCAAAGGCACATGTACTAAAATGGGAACAACACAGAGAAGATGAGTGTGGCTTCTGTGCAAGGATGACACAAAAATTCATGAAGCCTTCCATATTCTTTGTCTAGTTTTCCCATCAGATAATAAAACAAGGTCAACACTTAAAGAAAAAGAAGCCCCGCACATCTTTCTGGACTAGGATTGGTACTTTCTTAATTAAAAAATGAAAACAAAACTTAAAAACCTTGGTATGAAGCTAAGTATAAATTAGGGAATTATCTGAAAAGGGGTTATCATTTAAAATCTGAAATACAAGTAATGTGGGCAAAATCTTCCCTATCCAAGTGGACACTTTCCCCAGGTCTGCTTCCTCACATGCAGGATGCTCTCTTCACTCTGGGTGACCAAGAACTGGAGGTCCCAGCACTGAGAGAGAACACCCTGTGAGCTGGCAGCCCTGGCCCGAAGTTGAATGTACATCCCTGGCTGCTTTTCCATATCTCATGCGTCCCTGTTGACAAGTTTCTTTGCAAATAGGTGTGATACTCACCCAACTTTGCTCCTGAGAGTGAAGGAAATTGTAACCACAGGCTCTGTCCACCTTCCCCGCTGAGCGGGGGGTTCAGTCTGCGTTTCCAGGGTAGTGTCAGCAGCAGTCCCCTAGAGGGGTGGCAGCTGGTCCAGCCTGAGCTGCAGAGATTCAGAAAGGGACCTTCTTGAAAACCTGAAGCCTAGACGGAGCACTCAACCTTGACATTTGGCCCCTCCACAAAGTTCTTACTTAAGTCTTGTGTTTTCTAAGTTCCCTCACTGGAATGAAAGCTGTTTTGTTAGGAGCTCCGGCCAGTGTGGCTAAGCAGCCACCTTACCACAGGACCACAGGATCTGTTAAGCATTCACAGTGACAGAGTAAGCGACCGTGGATTTGTTTTTCCAGTGTTTCTTGTGGCCTATGCAAAGAGGAATGGTGGGAAAGTTTGTTATCCTATCAGTGACTGTGCGCGCTTAAAGCAGATTTTCAGTTCCATGTTTTACACCAAACACAAAACACAGACACACTGAACCAGAACGCATTTGCCTCCCTGAGTGCAGCCGGCGGCCCCACGCTGAGAACTGATCACTAGATAGCTGGTCCCACAATTGTTAGGGGCCCTTCTTTTTCCTCTCAGCTGAGCACTCAGATTGTGGGGAATAGAACCACTGTGATGTGGTCAGGCTGGAAAATATTTCCACTGAGCCAAGAACTTGAAGTTAGTTTAGGGAGGAAGTTAAGGGAACTCACGAGGTCTGCTGGAAGGAGCAGTGAGCTGGGAGTCCCAGTCCTGGCCCCTGCACTAGCACCAGGTAGCTCTGGCCAAATCCCAGCCTTTAGCGGAGTCTCTAAAATCTGTCAAAATGAGGCTATTGGTCCAGGGGATTTTTGCAGGCTTTTCTGAATTCTAACATGAGGTATATGTCTGAAAGGATGAGTCCCACAAATGTCTACAGTCTCTTTCCTTATCAATTCTCTTTCCTTCTATTTTCTTTCCTCTAACTGCATTATCTGAGGTAGGGAGGGGAAAGCCTGGTATTTGATATAAGAAGAGAAATTATGTATCTTGTTCAAATGGATGTGGGAGTTGGCAAAACAATGAAACAAAAACAGCGTCTGTAGCCTAGTGGGTAAGGGTGCCAGCCATATGCAAGGAGGCCGGCAGATTGCTTGAGCTTGAGAGTTGGAGACCAGCCTGAGCAAGAGCAAGACCCCATCTCTACTATCTCGAACCCAGCCTGGGCCAGTAAAACAACAATAACAACTGCAACAACAACATTTTTTGCCGGACATTGTGGCAGGTGCCTATAGTCCAAGCTGCTTGGGAGGCTGAAGCAAGAGAATTTCTTAAGCCCAAGAGTTTGAGGTTGCTGTGAGCTGTGAGTCCATGGCATGATGCTCTACCCAGGGCAAAAACTTGATACTCTGTCTCCAAAAAAAAAAAAAAAAAAAAAGAGAACAACAACAAAAACACTAAAATAAAGTGATGTCTCCTGACTGAGTCTGAGAGCTTCTCTTCTGGCCTTTGCTGCCTCCTGGTTTGTAAGGGAGGTCAAAGAAATGGGTTGAACAAATCCCTGCCTCCCTGGGAAGCATTTAATTCTCATTCAACATTGGGGTTGATCCAAGTCTTTTTTCTTTTCTTTCTTTCTTTCTTTTTTTTTTTTTTTTTTGAGACAGAGTCTCACTCTGTCACTCTGGGTAGAGTGCCATGGTGTCACAGCTCACAGCAACCTCAAACTCTTGGGCTCAAGTGATCCTCTTGCCTCAGCCTCCCAAGTAGCCAGGACTATAGGCATATAGCACACGCCTGGCTGATTTTTCTATTTTTTTCAGATTAATATGAGGGTATAAATGATTAGCTTACAGTGTTTGCATTTGTTAGGTAAAGTCGCTGGTGTAGTTGTATCTTGCACCTAGGAGATGTGCCATATACCCTTATATTGTGCCCATTAGGGGAGTAATTTTTCTATTTTTAGTAAAGACAAGGTCTTGCTCTTGCTCAGGCTGGTCTTGAACTACTGAGCTCTCGCAATCCAGCTGGCTCAATCTCCCAGAGTGCTAGTATTACAGGCATGAGCCACCATGCCCAGCTAATCTAAGTTATTTCCTTATTGTGTGAAGGCTCTGTGGAAAGAACCATGAGTGTAAACAGGTGGGCCCTAATTCTGAAGCCATTTCAGTCTACTTTTTTTTTTTTTTTT